CAGCTTTTCAATTAAAAAAACCACAACAAATTTTGAAGGACAGCAGACATTGTCCGTGATTTTTTTTTCCTTTTGAAAACCCCTAGTTTTTGATCCAAAAAAAGTTTTGATGGAAAATATTTGTCCAACCCTTTTAATGAGCTTTGGTGCCTTTTAGCACTAGCTGATGCTAAGAACCAGTGATACCTTGTAGAGGTGACTTGAAAAGAAGTTTTCTCAAAACTAGGTTTGTGCCGAGATGTGGAAGGTTTTTAAATGTTTATTTTCCCCAGGGCCGCCCGGGGGAAGGGGGGACAGGTGGGGCAATTTGCCCTACGCCCCGCAGGTGCCCCCACAAGAATATAGTATTGCAACTTTTTTTTATGGAAGGGGCCCCCAAAATTGCTTTGCCCCAGGCCCCTTGAATCCTCTGGACAGCGCTGCTTTCAACTACCTGAAAGGGGGTTCCAAAGAGGATGGATCTAGACTGTTCTCAGTGGTGGCAGATGACAGAACAAGGAGCAATGGTCTCAAGTTGCAGTGGGGAGGTTTAGGTTGGATATTAGGAAAAACGTTTTCACTAGGAGGGTGGTGAAGCACTGGAATGGGTTACCTAGGGAGGTGGTGGAATCTCCTTCCTTAGAGATTTTTAAGGTTGGGATGATTTAGTTGGGATTGGTCCTGCTTTGAGCAGGGGGTTGGATTAGATACCTCCTGTGGTCCCTTCCAACTCTGATAGTCTATGATTCTATGATAATGGCAGCTGAGCTTTCAGAGAAAAATGATCCATTTTCTATGAAAATTCACCCCAAAAAATGGATAAAAAGGAAACATTTCAGTTTGTGGGGGGAAAAAAACTGTTTTCAAGCCAAGCTCTAGCTCAAACCATGAGCCTCTGTCCCTTCTGCTACAGGACCTCACCCCTAGGTGGCAGTGCTAGGCCCCCAATCAGCCTCCCACACTGAGCAGCCCCTTAAGATGGCAATATTTCCCAAAGAGAAAACGGGAAACTCTCAATGACCACAGACTCAGATAAGGTACGAAGGCACCCGGCCAGGTTTATTGCCAAATGAAACACGGTCTCTAGCTCCCCGGACCAGATGTCTACTGTTCTGCTAGTACATATGTGCCCCCTGACAATGGACTCAGCTCAGTCAGTGGCGTGACTTTCCACTGCCCCCTAGGCTGGACAAAGACAGCTCCTCTGAGATACATGTTTATACACAGATACAAACGAGTTACACATCACTCCTGACATATCGAGGTGCGACCCTTCTACATATCAAGGTGCCACACATTACATTGTGCATGTTGCTTCTATCAAAACATCCCTATCCATCATGTCATCCTGACCCTGTCTTTAGGATGGGTCAGCATATTCCTGTTATCTATGGGGAGAGTGCTGGTATCAGGGTGTTCTTGTACCACCCTGGAATGTATTTACAGACTTGTGCCTAGTACCTCTTAGGTATGTGGGTTTCTGCAACATCAGCCCTGTTCTTCCCAGATTCTGTGAGCAGGGCCTGCCTCTTACTCACAGCTTAACATTGCTTTATATTAGCAAAGTTGTGGCTACTTTGGTTCAGGCCTCAGGCCTCACACCAAGCCTCTGATGCATGGGCTTAAGTTTCAGGGCTTCATCTTACTACAGAGGGGCCGAGCTACCAGTGGGTCACTGAGATCTGTGCATAACCTTGGGGATCCCTGCATCTTGGCTCCCCCTTTTCATTCCTCAGGGAGAAGTGAAGGGACCTCTCCTCCTGGAATGATCCGAGGGAAATTTCCATGTACGGAGCCTTGTGGAATCTCCCTTCCCTGGCCTGCACCCTGAGTTTATAATACAGGACAGGGGGCTAGTGAGGAGAAATCTGGTCCTATATTAATAATATTTTTATGATTAATTTACTTATTTATTAATTTTATTTCAGCAAGATCACAGAGGTGACATTGTTACCACTTGGCCGCCTCGAGGTAGCCCTGTGACTAATCGGAACCATACAAACAGTGACAACAAGCCCGGATTCCAGGAATAGACCCTGCAGCAGGGCTGGTGCTGCAGTCCATTGGGGTAGCGTCACCCCACGTCCCCTGTGATTTGGCCTATTGTAGTTTGCCATTGGCTGTCACAGGGATTAAAGCTGGTGCACATGAAGCCAAACAGCTGAGGTTCCCTGATGGCCAAGTGGCTCCCAAGGGAATGTGCAGACATGCTTCATAAAGACAGTTGCCTCCCTATCCGAACAGATACTGCCTGCTGCCTGTGCTACCTCTCTGATGGCTCCTTGTCCTTTACGGTGAAGACCTCTGGTGTCAGCGGCTCCCCTTCTAGCAGGAATCGGGTACGTTGGCAGGTTTTTCTATCTTTCACATTTGCAGATATTGTCTGAAGCAACAGAGGACTCAGTGACGGGCTGGAGGGCAGGCAGCGCTAGGTCATTTGGGAACTCCTCCCCTACTTCTGCCCATGCTGCACAGTGAATAATTTAAGCAGAAATCTGATATTCAAAGCGATCTCGGAGAGTTAAAACCCCAATGCCCCATGTCAGGATTTCTCAAGGGCTCCCATTTCTATAGATGCAGTGTGCTCTGGGACCTATAATGCTCCAGGCTGAGCAAGAGGACACCCCAGGGAATAGCGGTTACTAGTTCCCCAATCGCGCCAGGTTTATTTTCTCCTGGAAATTTAATCAGCAAATGCATTTTCAACAATTTTATTCTCTGGCTTGATTGCGAAGGCAGGAATTCAGGGTCGTGCACTCAACAACTTTGTAATACCTGTGCAAGACTTTTCAAAAAGTCCTGGAGAACAGAACCGCTGGTCTGTGTTTCAGCAAAGAGTAGAGCTGAGGTGCAGGAAAGGGGAGCATAATAGTGGTTTCAGTGTAATTTACACGCATTACCTGTTACATGAGCATGGCTGAAGTAACTTGCACATTCAACTGGATATTAGTGCAAATGTAGTGTTTGTGACGCCAACCCCTCACCGCCCAGCTGAAATAACCCTCTGAGTTATCTGTCACACTTCTAATTTGCCTAATACAGGATGCAGATTCTGTGAGGACGAAGAGAAGTCTGTAGGATGATCAAACTCTCTGGATTCAGTCAACATTGGCTAGGAAAAGCACTTCAGCTTCTCTTGGAGGGATTCTTGGGGATCAGAGTGTATCATTGGGAGCATTTGGCAAGGGAAAGGTAATAGAGTCCTGTTCTAATGGAATTTACACATGTAAATCTGGAGTGATGCCATTACAGTCAATTCAGAACATGGCACTAAAAAATTATCTCATGTGCTCCAAAGAGGTAGTGGCATAATTTGGACTCTCCAGATTGGATAAAGTAAATAAAATATATATAATGAGGCAATGAAACACGTAAATAGCTTCAATGCAGGATAGATAAATACTATGACCGTTTTCACCATGCACTTGCCATGTGTTTACACACATGTTATGATACAATGGGCCACACTCAGAAATGGAGGGTCAAAAAGGGTGTCTGAGGGAAGGTCACAATTGCAAAAGCACACAGTGCTCAAATAGGCTGAGGAACTCTGAGCCACAAGATATCAATGGGGCCAGTTGCTTAGAAGAATTCAAAGAGGCACAGGGTGTTTATATGGCTTTCCAGAAAATCCAATTGAAGTAGTGAGGATTTATTGAAAAACTCTTGGAAGGACTCTAAACCTTCCTGATTTACATCACAAAATATGTCTAACTGGTGGGTGTCAGGGGAAAAATTTCCTGGGAACAGGTTATCTCATAGCTGCCTATTGCAAGACTAGATGGTGCTGGTCCTGCCATGAGTGCAGGGGACTAGACTTGATGACCTCTCGAGGTTCCTTCCAATTCTATGATTCCTCCACCTTCCTCTGAAGCTTGTGGAACTGGCTACAGGCTACTGGGCTAGAAGGACTACAGGTCTTATCCTGTCTGGCAGTGCCTATCTTCCTATTAAAAAAGAACAGGAGTACTTGTGGCACCTTAGAGACTAACAAATTTATTAGAGCATAAGCTTTCGTGAGCTACTGCCCACTTCTTCGGATGCATATAGAGTGGGAGATATATATACAGACATACAGGGAGCATGAACAGGTGGGAGTTGTCTTACTAACTCTGAGAGGCCAATTAAGTAAGAGGGGGAAAAAAAGAGAAAAAAACTTTTGAAGTGATAATCAAGCTAGCCCAGAACAGACAGTTTGATAAGAAGTGTGAGAATACTTACAAGGGGAGATAGATTCAATGTTTGTAATGGCTCAGCCATTCCCAGTCCTTATTCAATCCTGAGTTGATTGTATCTAGTTGGCATATCAATTCCAGCTCAGCAGTCTCTCGTTGGAGTCTATTTTTGAAGGTTTTCTGTTGTAAGATAGCCACCCGCAGGTCTGACATTGAATGGCCAGACAGGTTAAAGTGTTCTCCCACTGGTTTGTGAGTATTATGATTCCTTGATTATCACTTCAAAAGTTTTTTTCTCTTACTTAATTCAATAAATTTGTTAGTCTCTAAGGTGCCACAAGTACTCCTGTTCTTTTTGTGGATACAGACTAACACGGATGCTACTCTGAAACCTATCTTCCTATTGGTCCTGTAAATCCCAAACTATGTTTTTGCTGATCTTCCTTGAACTCCAGGGAGTCTCTAGAATTGCACTCAGAGCAGAATGATGTCTCGATAAATATCAACTAGTCTCCTGTTCTTTTTCCTTTCAGGAAGGAAAGTTCAAAACTCATCGGACCTTCTCAGTCCATTATGTCAGCTGTCAATGAAACCAAATTCAACCCTGACGTTTTCCTTCTCACCGGGATACCTGGGAAGGAAGACGTCCATCTCTGGATCTCTATCCCCTTCTGCTTAGTGTATGTTATTTCAATAGTAGGAAATTCAGTCATTCTATTCATTATAAAAACAGATCCAAGCCTCCATGAGCCCATGTACATTTTCCTTTCCATGTTGGCCATCACAGACCTTGGCATATCAATATCCACCATACCGACAATACTGGGCATATACTTGTTTAATTCTAGGGAGATCAGCCTAAATGCTTGTTTTACCCAACTGTTCTTTATCCACTTTCTCGCAAAAATTGAATCCTCCATGCTCTTGATGATGGCCTTTGACCGCTTCATTGCGATCTGTAACCCACTGAGATATGCTTCCATCTTAACCCTGCCGAGAATAGCCAAGATGGGGTTGGTGTTTGTGCTAAGAGGGGTGGCTGTAGCATTACCATTCCCCTTCCTCCTGAAACGCTTCCAATACTGTCGAGCCAATGTCCTCTCCCATTCCTACTGCCTGCACCAGGACATCATGAAGTTGGCATGTGCAGACATCACAGTCAATAACATCTATGGCTTGTTTATTACACTCATAACAGTGTGGTTGGACTCACTGCTCATCTTCCTCTCTTATGTGATGATCCTCAAAGCAGTGCTGAGCATCACATCCCACACACAGTGCCTCAGGGCTCTGAACACCTGCGTCTCCCACCTCTGCGCCGTCCTGGTCTTCTACATGCCAGAGTTCAGCCTGACTGTCATACACAGATTCTGGAAGGGCTCTTCTCCCTTGCTTCAAATTCTCCTGGGCTACATCTACTTGCTGGGCCCGCCCTTGATGAACCCAATTGTGTACAGCGTGAAAAGCAAACATCTTCGTGCGAGGATAATCAAGGTGTTTGTTAAATGAATAGTCAGTTCATCATCCAGCTACAAGGTTGGTGATACAGGAGTTAAGAAAAACAGGTCGTGGCCACCTTTTCCATCCTGGACCCTTATGTCTACGACGACAAGAGCTACTGATTTCCACTCGTTAGAGAGAAGTTCAGATGGGGTGTAAGACCTGGAGCAATGGAAGTGGGGCTGTTCCCACGCGCTGTTAAGGGAGGACAGGGCACCAGGGGAAGGAGACCAGGGGAGGCAGCAGCATATACAAAGTGACTGTGTTCGTGGAGAGCCCAGGGACCGGTGGAATGTTGGCCCATATAGAGCAGTATCGGTGGCTACTCCGACCTCAGAATTCCTGTTGATACAGTCAATAAAGAGAAGGGATGTGAATGTTGTTTCTCATTACACCTGGCCTGTCACACAGTCCCGTCTCTATTTAAACATCCACAGGACATGAAAAAAGCTGCAGAGCTGTTCTGTGGTCACAGTTCTGGCCCTTAATGATCACTCTGGGAGCTGCATAATCCATTGGGCTGCCTGAGCTGTGGACAGGGGCTATTCAAGGGACACAGTCACCCACCCTTCCCCTACGCCCTCAGTCAGGTGCTTGTGACTGAGTCATGTCAGAGACCTGATTAACACAGGATCCCCAGGAGAAGCCATTCAGGTAATATCCCCCATCCCTTATTGATGGCTCAGCCCACAGAAGCATATTCCCTCCTACTCCTCCCCTCTGTTTGTGCTCTCCCAGTAATACAAAGGGGTAGAAACAGGCCTCACCTCCCCAGCAGAGTCACGGTCATCTCCTGTCCCAGCCCAGCCCATTCAGAGTAGGGTGACCACCTTTTCAAAAGCCAAAAGCAGGACACATGCAGGAGCCCTGCCCCCTACATGGCCTCACCCCGGCCCTCTTCTTCCTCCCGAACTCCCACCCCCTGCTCCTCCTCTTTCTCCAAGCCTCACCCACTGACTAGGCCGGATGTCACAGACAGGCCATGATAAGAGGCGCCCAGGGAGCAAATGCTGCTCTGGGGAACCCCAGATCCTCCACCTGCCCCAGTCAGGGGGTGTGGCCTCATAGCAAGGGCGGGCTAAGGATCTCCTCAGCCCCCTAACTGTGAAAAAGATGGCGCTGCCCATGAGCCTTGGGCAGGCGTGGATCGGCACAGCAGGTAATTTAGGACAAATGCTGTTCTGAAGTCATTCAGCCCAGAGCAGGACTCGAACTCTGCATTTCGGGACTCTCCTGCCCGATTGGGGATGGGTGGTCCACCCTAATTCAGTGGCCATTAGAGGTGGTGTGTTGGGAACTGTCCCCTTTAGGGTTAGGAGAGATAAGGGGGGGTCAGTCAACCCCTGATCCAGAGTGGGGCCCTTTACAGCTCCTCTGACTTTTGAAGTTGACAGAGGCCTAGAAGAGGCAGCTAGTGGGAGAGACGAAGATGGTTGCAGGGAATAGTTACTGCTTTGGGAAATCCCTCACTCCATGCCAAACAGGAGGCGTCTTAGGTGGGACACAGGCTGAATCCTCTCTCGCAACATGGGCAACACCAGCAGGGGACAGGCAGCTGCCCTCGCTCAGCCCAGGGGAAAGGGACTGAGATACCCTGGGTACCAGCTGGGGAGAAGCCAGTAAGGATGCAGCAAAGCAGACTCCAGCAAGCAGGGTGGGGGGACTTCTGAGTAAAGGAGGAGGATGGGGCTGGAGTGTAGGAGAGCCTGTGTTTTGGAAAAGACTGAATTAATGCGACCCCTCAAAGGAGGCTCCTTTTTAAAGTATCCCAGACTGAGAGTAAGTCATTGCAAGTACCTTAGAGGGAAGGGCAGGGTTACCTCAGACCCAAAGGGGGCAGTCTGGAGTGGCTCCCGTTCACAAGGCCTTGGCCAGGGTGTGCTGTGCTCTTTCAAGGCATTATCACCAGACGTAGATCAGCCCAGCCCCCAGGCTGCTCTAAACTCTGCTGAGGCAGGGAGAGAACAGGCCAGTGAATCAAACCACTGTAACTGGCTCCTTGTCATCCCCACTCTCTGTAGCACAGGGGGGAGCTCTGCTGGCAGAGCAGAGAATCCAGCCGGGCCTGTCAGCGTTCAGATGTCTGGAAGACTGGTCCAGTGGTCTGGGCAGGACTGCTGGGTTTGAGTCCCTTGCTGTGTGTGACCATGGGTAAACCACTGGCTGTCTCTGAGCCTCTGCCTCACAGTGATGGTGGGAGGATAAAGATAGTCAAGGTGCTCAGATGCACTGAGACCCTAAGATCAGGGCTATGTCAGGGTTCCACAGAGCAACACCTCTGACATTTGTCTATCCAACGCCTCTTACCACAGCCCCTGTGACAGCTGGCTTGTGGGAAGCCCTGTGACTCCAGCACCGAGGTGTGTGTGGCAGATGTGGGGGTGCTCAGGAGTGACAGTGAGGGGTAGGGAGTGGATTTCTGAGGGGAGTGTTGCAGCGTCACAGGGATGCCGAGCATTTCAGCACAGTCACCATAGCCAGAGTGCTGAGCCCCCTGCTCCCAGAGCAACCCAGAGCTTCCACAGACCCACGGCTGAACCAATGATCCCTCCACCCCCAATGCTGGAGGAGCCCCAGGCTGGCTGGAGCGCCCCCAGCCATGCCGAGCCCACTCTCCTGAGACCCCAAGCCACCCCTTGGGAAAAGCTTGTCTCTTCCCAAAGAACCTGAGCTTTTTATATGCCCAATGCATGTTCCAGGGCAGCTGAGGAGATGGTTGTGAAAGTGCCCCCGATATTGATCTTAGTGCTATTCTTGTGATACGATTATGATATAGTTATTTGTGTCTTGTATAAAAAATGTCTCGGGAGTTTAGCATGGAAAAATTATGATTTGCAGAATATGATGATCCTATTTGTGTGCTTGTATCATTTTTGCATCTGAGGTTATGAATATTGACTATGTCTCTGTATTTCAAATGTAGTTACACGTGGGTGACACCCATTAGGCAAAATGCTTCCAGTCAGGACAGCTGGTTGTGAAGGGCCTATTCCGGGTACTGGGACATTAGGGGAAACAACAGGAGAAGGTTATACTCCATCTGGTCAGCCTTCCCAGAACGCTCTGGACAGCCTATGGATAATGGTTGCAATGATGCAGAAGGGCATGCAAAGGCCTGGGACCAGACCACAAGACAGTGAATTCCATTTTGGTACCTGTATTTTTCTACTATATAACATGGGGAGTGACACCATCCCTTGGCCTCACTCCCCACACAAGAGAATTCCTGGAAACACCTGAGGAACAATGTCTGAACAGGGGGAAGTGTTGATCCCAGGCTCAAAGGATTTCTAGCCTGCATTTGAAAATTTGGTAGACTGCTTGTATCATCACCCAGGGTGAAAAATTGTTATTTCATATCCAATCTATCTAGCGTGTTAGGCTCAGTTTGCATTTTTTGTTTATTTGCTAGGCAATCTGCTTTGATCGGATACCTCTCAACTTTAATCACTTAAAATCCATCTTTTTGTAGTTAATAAAACTATCTTATGCTTTATTTTTACCAGTATGCTTTGAGTAAAGTGTCTGGGGGAAATCTCAGCTCTGTGTACAAAGGCTGTTGTATATCCTTCCCACATCAAGGGCAAAGCAACCTATATTAATGAGCTTGGGTTTATATTCCAGTAAGGGAGCAAAGGTTGGGGAGCTGAGAATTGTCTATTGTCTCCAGCCTGCCCTTGAGTGGCTTAACTAAAGCACCCAGGTAGCTTAGTTGGGTGTGTGGCGCCACCTACTGTTGTGTTGGGTGAAAACAGAGATTGAAGAGGTTGTCTTTGTCACCAACTAAGCAGTGTAAGATCGGCCAGACCAACTGGAGGGTTAAGGGGCACAGCGGTTCCCAGAGCTCCCAGACTGCACCCAGGGGTAACAACCTGTCACTTGTGTTACTCAGGTTCCTGGTTCCATCAGTAATCTCCATGGAGTGCAGCGAGATTACTGAAGAAGCTGAATAGCACATAACGCCTCCTCACCTACACTGGAACCTGCATGGCACGTTATAATAAAATGTTCCCTGTGCGAACCCTGCAACTGGCAGCGGGTGGCCACAGCAGCACCGGGGGGGGGGGGGGAAAGCTTCTCCTCTCCAGGCCTATATCCACCACCTCTGGTTCCCAACACTCTGTTTGCTTTTCTGACTGACGCTGCACACTGAGCTGATCTTTTCAGAGAACTATCCACGAGTCCAAGATCTCTTTCTTGAGTGGTAACAGATAATTTGACACCACCATTTTGTCTCTACAGTTTGGATTATGTTTTTCCAATGTGTGTTACTTTGCATTTGTCAACGCTGAATTTCATCTGCCATTTTGTTGTCCAGTCTCCGAGTGCTGTGAGATCCCTTTGTAACTCTTCACAGTCTGCTTTGGACTTACATATATTGAATAATTTTATCTCATCTGAAAATGTTGCCACCTCACTGCATGCCCTTTTTTCCAGATCATTTCTGAATATTTGTGTGATGGCGCATCCCACAAGGCTTATGGAAATATGCTTATGAATGGATATCTGACATAACTAGAGCATCTGGGGGTCTCCTGTTTTCTCTTTGGGAATTATAGTCTCCCTAAAGGGCTACTCAGTGTGGGAGGCTGATGGAGGGCTACTTCCGCTTAGTGGCCTGGTCCTGTAGCATGAGGGACAGAGGCTCATGGTTTGAGGTGGAGCTGGGCTGGAAAATACACAACATTTTCACCCAAACTAAAATGTTTCCTTTGCATCCTTTTTTGGGTGAGTTTTCATAGAAAATGGATCATTGTTCTCTGAAAGTTCAGCTGCCATGATGCTGCCCAGCTGCATCTGCCTGGATCCCCAAGAGAAAGTTGAGGCTTTTCATCTGCCTCTTCCTCATAACATAAATGAAGGTTGCACTGAGGGAGTCTATGGCTGAACTCTGGGTATGGAAAGGTCGAAACCACCTGACCAGTCTATGGCTGGGATATTGTGCCCATCTGCTACTCTAACCAGCCCTCCCATCTCTGTGCAGCCCCCTCCACCCTGTACAACGCCCC